CGTGGCCTATCGCAAGAGAACACAACGCCTCGAACGTGTTATTCGCCATTGGGAACGGCTCATGGCCCTGCCGCAGGAGATCATTACCTACTTTTCACGGTTCCCGACCCCGAACCCTCACAGAGAGGTTGTCGAAGGGCAACGCTTCATGGAAGAGATTTACCAACGCCGGGAAGGGTGGAAGATGGTTGAGCGAACGGGGCGCAACGGCATGTTTTGCGGAGTCCGGGAGATGCAGCTCATCAAGGAGGGCCCGCGCAACGGACGCAACTGGGAGAACCACTATAACATCCCATGGGCGGAACAGCAGTTGAACTTCCCCATCTGATTTCATTCTCGATTTTGACGGAGCTTGTACTGGTCGGTGTAATGGGGGACACGGCGCTTGTGGTTGGTTAAACTATGGAGCATCAGCATTACTTTTGTTCGGCGGCATTGGGTGGATAAACCTATTGGGCATAACGACGATGGTTCGATACGGGGAGGAGGGGTCCCAAGGCTGTATGCCACCCAAAAATTGGGGGGGGGGGGGGCGAAAAGGGGCAATGGGGTTTTTGGAAAAGTGTCATAGACGTACTGGCACACTTTGTGCACCTTGATACCACTTTCGTTATACTTTTGAATATACTACTACCAACGATTCCTCTCGGTGGCCGCTGCTACTAACCCTTGATCATTGGCTATCGACCACGCTTGGTAAGAAAAGCCCATGGCGTCAGGCCAGTTTATATTGGATGAGTGTGTGACTATGCCAGACGCCTTCCTTATGCTACGTTGTGAGGTAAGACAAGTAACGTGCTCGAACACGCTGTCACTCATAAGAGTCCGAATCACTCAACACCGATCTTTTGCGCCAGTGAGGCCGAGAACCACATGTCGTGGACACTTTTCAACACAGGCTTGAGACCAAAGATGTCAACGAACACCGACTTCATCCATGATTGACTGTTCCCCATTGGACCCCTGTTCGGTCCTAGCTGCAGTGCAGTAACTAAACGCGAAGTAAACCAGACGAGCCCAGACCCAAACCCAGAGACCCAGACCCAAGCACAACAAGTAAGTTACCTATTTGCATTTCCACCCCATGGACCGAAAGAAACCCAAACGTGACACTAAAGAGAGGGATAACGAGAAGCTAGCCTCCCAAAAAATAACATGCGGACGAGGCGCGCATAGACAGGCAGTTATCCGATAGACAAGACGCCCGCCCAAGAACCCAAAGTCACAAATAGCAAGTCCAAAAAGTCCGCTCGCTCAACAACAATCAAGGTGGTATCTTGGAGGAGAAAAGACACTGGCAAGCCACGGCCGTACTGAAGATTGGAGAGAGACTCATTCATGCGTCAGGCATGCTTCGAAGAGAGAAGCAGTCAAGATAAACACTTAGGCTGCGACGGCGGGGGTCGCCTTTGCCTTTGTGGTCTTGGGCTTGGTCTCCTTCTTCCCTGCCTTGGTGGCCGCGGCCACCTTGGTTTCTGCCTTCTTGGCTACCGACTTGGCCTGCGCAAGGTGTGTTAGTGCTGAAGCTCAGTCATCAAGTAATGGCAAGAAAGTTATCAAGAAAAAGGTCTGTATCGTAGGGATGGGGTAGAATAATTGATCTCTTGTAGCAAGCGCGACTTGGACACCCAGGTTTGCTGGACAAGAACACAACATGATGGGACCGAATCCAAAACAAGATTCTCGCCAGAAGAAGCAGAGAAATTACAAGGTGGTTCTGGAGGAGAGAGAGAGTTGCGCGCCTCCCACACGTGTTATGTACAATGTCTCATGAACATACCTTGGTAGCGACAGAAGGGCCCTTCTTGGCGGTGGTGGCCTTCTTCTTGGTGACGCCGACAGGCTTCGCGGCCTTGGCAGCAGTAGAAGTAGTCTTGGGCTTCTTTGCGGTCGTGGTGGTCGTGGTGTTCTGCTTGCGAACAGGAGCGGTGTCGACGACTGGGAAGAGACGCGGCTTGGAGTTGCCGGTCTGGGAGCGGGTTCCTTCACGTGCCATTTTGACGTTTGGTCTGGTGTCGCGATGGAATGTTAGTTATTGCTTTACGATTACGAGATTGACGCGATTGCGATAGATGTAATGCGACGAGAAGAAGAGGTTGTGGTTGTGATAGCGCTCGTGAGAAAGTGACGTGAAGAAAGAGAGAGTATCCGTGAGAGGAGGGGGAACCTGAAGGCGAATGGCGGATGGCGCGATGGGCGGGAAAAACGGGCCAAAGTTGGTACTTTTTGAAAGACTCACGGTTGGATAAAGACGATGGAAAAGTGACGCGTTAAAGCTTTCTGAAGCTGCAGAATTGGGTTAATCCAAAGGACGATGGAAAATGGTAAGTTTGCGACGAAGAGTGGTGGAATGGCGAGGTGTTGTTGTGAGAAAAGAGAAGATGGGAGGTGACGTGGTTTCGTGTTGCGGCGCGAGGGGAGGGGAGAGGGGGAGGACTGCGGATATGGCTGATTGAGTGCTGGCGGTCGGTGGTGCTGGTGGTGGACGGTCACAAGGGGCACACACCACACACATACGTCTTCACACACACACACACACACACACCTTTTGCACGGGAGGAGCGGTGTCGGAACACACGTTTAGGATATTGGATCATCGTGGGCGATGTGAAGGGAATTGATTTTCGTATTGTTTATTTTCTTTCGGCTAACTAAATTATCTTTCAAATGAATGGAGTCAAGCCTTGCCTTCTTTTTTGATGAATTTGCGAGAGGATAGAATGGAAGGAGCACCTTGTTCACCTGCGATGGCAAGATGGAGGGACGGGAAGGAAAGAGGCAGAGACAGAGGCAGAGACAGAGGCAGAGAGGCAGAGGCAGAGAGGCAGAGGCAGAGAGACAGGAAAGAGCGGGACAGCCAGTGATTGAACTTCCAGGTTGGAGGGAAGGAAGGCACAAGAGTTAGACAGCTGCGTCTAATACTGTTTCTTTCCTTTCCTTTCCTTCCCTTCCTTCAGGTAAGGAAGGCACTTTCAGTTACCTTCTAATCTGACTACACGGTCCAAGTCCTTCCTGCTCTTTGGCCTAGACAATTTGTTTTGACCCCCCCCCCCCCCCGTGATTCTTGGGCGTCTTATCAAGAATCAAACACGGCAAGACGGCCTGATATTGCGCCCCTTCCCACTTTCATCCATTCTTCACCACACCTAGGGTACCTACCTAAGGTACCTTAAGCTCAAAGTTGGCAGTCGCCAGTGTCCCCCCCATTCCCTTGGCTGTCACTGTCCTCCTCCATTTATTTCTCTTGCATCTTCCACTTCTTCCCCCCATCCTGCCCATGTCGACCCTCTGATTTGAACCTCTCTCTCTCTCTCGTAAACCTTTACCTTTCCCCTCTTTTTGCCTCTCTGCTCTATTCCGCATTTCACTATGATTTTCTCCCTTAATTTCCCCGCCTTGGCGCAGACCCGGCAATTCAGCGGTGCCCGACCTTGTTAATGAGCCTGCGCCCTTCTTATCTCCCTCCCACTTCCAGCCTCCTCGGACTCGGCGTAGGGTTCGGCCTACGTTGATACCTCTATTCGTCTTCTTTGTCTACATTTCTCATGATGTAGCCACGTTTTCGAGCGCTCGTCGGCATGTATACAGTGACCATCGAATCAAGTTTCGAGCAAAATGCGGCTACGGCAATTTCGTTAGATGGCCCCGATAGACCAAGCACATGATGGACCCAAGCGAAGGACGCGCCAGTTCTAGACCGACCGAAACGACCCCGGCACGCGACGTCTGGCGCCCAACTGCCCGGTGTCTGGACTCTGGAGTCTAACGCTCTGGGCTCCCGTTCCCGGGCTCATTCATGGCTACGGATCAGATGGCTTACGGTCTATCTTGTTCTTTACCGATGATGGATAACAGGCGCCTTCCCCGAGATTCCCCTGTACCGTGCCTACAGTCTAAACCACCGTCGACGGTTACTCTATCTCAAGATCGAATCTTTATCCTTCTTCAGCGGCAACGTCCGCCTGAACCGTGCAGCGCAAGCGTGTCCCATGACCACAGCAAACGTCACGCCCGCCTTCACCGTGCTGTTCCTGCTTCACATGGCGAGCTCTTCATCTCAGGGGCGCACATCCCCGAATATTGAAGTATCGAACGAGGGAAACAAGAATGATCAAGAGCATTCAACGAAATAGGAGAATGTGACGACGCCAAATGGACAAGCCGGTTATTTCGCCATTTCCTGTCTCCATGGCCTGCGCATGTCGCCTTGTGCACAGAATGGCAGACAGAGAAAACGCCCTAGGCTGCAGGGTATCGTGGCCACAGCGATGATCGTCCAACGGCGCGCCCCAAGGCCTCCCCGCCGCGCTGTCTGCATCAAGGGTCTGTCCGTGCTGTCCCTGCTGCTGCTGCCAGAACGTTGAGCCCCGCAAACGCGCTTCTTCAGGAGCCCACAAGGACATACCCCCACGCGAGCGACTATTTTCGAAGCAACTCAGAAGTCAGAAAGCCCACATCCATGAATCTATGCTCAGCATTTACAGATGTGACACGCCCGTTTGGCTGTCACTATTCGAAATCGAAAGTCGGAAGAAGAGTTCAATTTGATTGGCCACATCTATGCACAAATCCTTTCCACCAAATGCAACCCCTCGTTCTGGCCATCACCCGCAACATACAAGTGTCCCCCGCCGTCCCAAGCTTGCTCTGGGTTCATACCGATAGGCGTACTTCATCAGGTCCTTTTGCAAGCTTTTGAGCTCCTTGTTGAGTTTCTTGCTGCGCTCCAAAATATCTCTTACTCCCTGCATCATGGCATCGTCTGCCCGGTTCAATTTGCCCACTTTCTCGCGGATCGCCTGCGTCCGCCGTCGCTCACACGACAAGTGGTCAATATTGACAGTCGTCACTTTGCTAACCTCGACCATGGTAACACCGGGTCGTTGCGCCACTGCCTGGACATGACGCCATTTTGTCTGTAGTTTCAGCTGCAGAATGAATCCCCTGGATGTAAGCCGTAGTTGCTCGACTTCGGCGCTGACTGTAGGTTACAATAGGTGTCAGTTACCTGGATGACTTTTCAAGTAGAATTCGGGAAGAGGCTTGCACTCAACAACACGTTTGCTCAGCTCGGTTCTTTTGCGGCTGATCTCCAATGAACGACGAACGAGCTTGCTTGCCTCATCCTGTTGCCGTTGGCGATGCGAGGCCCGGACTTTGGTGACGAAAGATGCCAGCACTCTTCTCCACCATCTTGCCTTTCTGGGCTGAGCCAGCTCCTCTCGATCCTCGTACCTCGCCGAATCCCTGACATCCTCGATTTCAACAACAGTCACCTTGCCTAAACCCCAATCTTTCTCACCACAGAGAGTCTTCTCAGACGCGGACTCGGATGTGACTGACACTCTATCTGATGCGGCGTCTCCCCGTTCAGACGCTACTTGCAGTTTTTTAGCAAGGGTGACCGCAATGTCCACTCGACTCTCAATGCCTTGAGATTGCACAGCAACCTTACACAAGGAAAGAAGCTCGTCGTACCACTTGACGACCTTCTTTGTTGTGAAGACGGCCAAGTCAACATCGAGCTGAAGAGGGTTGGGCCCGAGAACCGAAGAAAACATAATGGCATTCCAGAGAGGTTGTGTGTTGTCGTCGCTCCGGTCAACTCGCCTGCGAGCCTCTCGAAGGGCGACGGAACTCGAGGTCGTCGCCAATTTCATTCCACAAACGGGATCTGTCACCTGAGCATGCTCTTTCAGCGTTCCGCACATAGTCAAGACTCGGCCGGGTTTGAAGCATACCTCCATGTACTTGAGGAGAAGCTCCTGGGTTGCCTTCTGCGCACTACCACTTGGCCCACCCTGTTCGAGAGGGTGACAGTAATATCCTGCTGGCTCGATGCCCCACGGCCTTTTACAGTCACTGGCAATGCGAGGATGACAGGCAAACGAAAAAACCTTCCTCCAATCGAGAGTGCCTCGCTCGTCGGCATTCGCCCTTGCCAACCCTGACATGATGTCTCTAAGGGCTTCCATAGTATCCAGAAACGCACGTCTCGCAACGCCCATTTGGTCGTAGGTTAGCCAAATATGAGCAAACCTCATCTATTTTATGTCAGTGATGTCTGAGAACGGGCGTTCGTGCTTGGGAAACCAGTTGACTCACTTCCAAAAATACAATCTTCGGCGTCTTGTCCTCGATGTTTTGCCCACGTCTCAACCTTCTCCCCAGCAACTCCCATCCTGCCAGTTGTTTTTGGTGCTTTGGGAGAAGCAGATACCTCCACAAGGATGTTAAGCACTGGGGAATATCATCTCGAGTTGCGTAGTAGCGGCAGTTCAGGTCGAACCTGAGCCGATTTGCCGGCTGTTGCATGGACTGCCGCTGAACCGTCTTGGTGCTAGTCGTGTCAGGCTCGACCCCGGGGAGCGGCTTCTGGACGGCAATGTTGATCGAAATCGGCATCATTATGAGAGAGACAGTAAGCTTGGTATCAGAATCTCGAAATACGAGCATCCTCACGGGCTCATATGCTGAAGAGGCACGTACCCTCACGAGCGTGGCACGACCTTGGTAGACCAGGCCCCGACTGCTCGGCGACCCTGAGGTCCTTGATTGCGGGTAATTCCATTTGTAACTCTCGGTGGCTTACATATTTCATGTGCGTTTTGCTGGGTTCGGCGAAGATGGCTTCACGAGTCGACGACATTTTCTCACAAGTCGAAAGCTATCAGGTCCTTGAGGCCTTGAGCCTTGAGGGAAGACAACTTTGGCTGACGTCTTCGTCAACCCGAAAACTCTCTCCGCAGCCACGCAAGTTACACCACCCTGACGCCACCACCCTGACGCCGTAAATATCACAGCCTACTTGACTCACAATTGAACCCTGATTATGATGGTCCTGAAAACAGCGGAGGGTGGCTTTTAAGTCTTTGCAGATTTCGCGGCCCCATCGCGGGGTGGAGATTCTAATTCTTCGGCGACCTGTTGTGGACTATTCATTGAATACCATTGCCGGCTGTTTCTTCCTCATCCATCATGAGTCAATTGTGTCGTGCAATCGACTGCCGATTATCGTGCTTTTTGCGACTAAGATTTTTCTCATGACTTCACTCTCTTACGACTCGTGACAAGACCTTGGTGGAGCTACGAGTGAATTTCTTGATGGAGTCCACGACCTTTTCGATATCTCCAGAGGCGATAGCGAAGTCACTCGTCGATTAGAGAGGCCTCCAGCTGTGATTAACAGTGCTCAAGCTGAGTCAATATTAAACACTTTGCAAAGTTTTCCATGTCAGACGGCGATACGCATGACTCGATATATTTGAGATTGGATTCAGAATAGGGCGTTCAACAGTTTTACACTCTCTCCCAAGCACAAGACCGAAGCTCGAAGAGTTCTACATCTTTCCAGAACTCCACGAGCTGAGCTTATAGTAGAAGACGTTCTTCGGTGGAGGATGGTCGATGTGCTTTCGAGACCTCGCTGTATCTTCAATCTCTTTCGAACAGATTTACACTTATACAAAGGCGGAAATGAAGGGTGTCGTTGTATAATATCCTAGCAGTACCTAGAGTTAGGAAAGTTTACGACTACAAGAGAGAAGTAATCAGTGATAGGGATGGCGGTTTGAAGATGCCTAATTGAAGGCTGATCATGGGGCATTAGAATGATCTTGCCGCTGACTTCTCTTGAAGTGACTCGATCACCGGGCTATCCGATATCAAAGCTCTTTGGACTGTGTAATGATAGATTGATAAGAGTTGGGGAGTTCACCATGCATCGATGTCAGGCTGAGGGGCAACGGGGCCAACAAGTTGAAGTCACACCCTCCGGGTCTTCTCCGCATTGCTACCAATGAGTCACTTGAATTCCTACGTCCCTTTACTTGGAGAGACTTTCAGATTCACGCTACGGTCCCTCCAGCGAGACTTCATAATTTGTTTTTCCGAGAGAGACAGCTGACCAAGATAAAATCTTCAGGTTGCTACATGGGCTGTCCAAAAAGGGGGGAAATATCATTTTCTTTTGTCTACTCTAATTCAGGGACGCTTTACTCAACCTTGGATCGTGTCAACAACTTTTCCAGACACTTCATATGTGTCGTACCTTCTTCAAGATCTTGATCAGCTATTGCCCATGTCCCCCCTCCACCGCGCGGCAAACTTCCACTGCACCCCCGCACCTATGAGTGCAACCAGCTGAGCCCCAACACACAAAGTAAAAGCCCACCCCACCCCGATCCCGCTCACCATGGGCATCACAAAACTCGTGCCGCCAGCGGCGAAAAGACACCTGGCGAGGTTGACGCTAGCGCTAGCTGCAGCGCTGCGGTCGGGGAAGATGTCGATGAGGTACGTCATGACCAGAGACTGCGTCGAAACGGCGGTCCAGCCCGTGATGAAGGTCGAGATGATGGGCAGTGCGATATGTACCTGGCGAGGGAAGTTGATCGTCCATCCAAAGACTGCAATGGAGACGGATTGGAGAAGTGCGAAGATTGGTATGAGACGAAGACGCGCCTTTTCGATTGGAAACCCCGCATTGGTGTCCGAGCCCGTAAGGGTGCTGCTTTCTTGGTCGTTGCTCTCGTCATACTTTGCCTTGACACGCTGATAGTCAAGGTCGAGAAGCTTGCCCGTGACTAGCGTGCCGATCATGGAGCCCACGCCGTTTGCGATGAACGTCAGGCCAATGTGGGTTTCTGATAGGCCGTAGCGTGACTTGAAAAGACTTGACATGGCTGTGATGCTCATCTGCCATACCGCGTAGTAGACGGCGAGAAAGAACACGATAGGGGCAGCGCATCTGTTGAAGAGGATCCGGAGGGGTCCGGTGATGTCGACGTGCTTGACAAGTGCCTTATTTGAAGTTGCTCTGTTGGCATGCCATGATATCTCCGAGGTCCGTTGGTAGATGATCAAGGGATACTTTCCCAGACAACCCTTTGGTGTTCTGGTACCATTGCCGACGACAGACCTGAGAGTCTCTGGAAGTAGAAGTAACAGCAATGCGAGGAATACAGCACAGTAGATTGCAAGGAACCAAAAGATGCTCCTCCATCCAAAAGATCCGGCCAAAGCACCTCCAATGACGGGCCCAACGGCAACTGGAACAAGCAAGCCGGCCTGGAAAACGCCCATGTACCCGCCCCTCTCTTGCCGCGTCGTAATATCGCTAATGACCCCAGAGCCTACAGCAATTGTACTCGCGCTACCGGTGCTCTGTAAACATCTGAGGATGATCAACGTTGCGTAGTTTTGGGTTTCTGCGAGACCGATGCACGCGCCGAGAAATACGACAAAGGTGCAGCAGTAGGCGACTCGTCGGCCTTTGACGTCGGAGATTGGACCCCATAGACTTGGTGCTAGACCTTGGAATATGAGGTAGGTGGTTACTGTGAGGTTGACGAGCTCTACTGAGACGCTTAGGTCGTCGGCGACGGTGGGGAGGGCTGGGAAGTAGATGTTTGAGGCGAAGCCTGAGACTGTGGTCTAGGTTAGCAGAGAAGCCAATGTCTTCGGAATAGCTGGCTTGACTTACAAGTGGCTGCAATCGATACTAAAGATATAATGACTCTTTTCTGATGTTTATCGAAGATGGTGTACGGCTCGTGAGGTTGATCAGATGAGGAGTGCGTCTCCGTATTATCGACGTTGAGTGTTCTTTCTGCACTTCGAGGGGTCATCTTTGACTTTGGTCTTCTTAAGTGAGATTGACGATTTTGAGAAGGATTGAAAGTAATTCCTTGCTCTTAAGACCGGAAGAAGGAGGCGTTGGTCTAAATACGGCTGCAGTCGATGTCGATGTCTCGTAAACTTGACCATGACGAACGGCTTCCGGAGTTGAGCCCCACTATTTCGGAGTTGAGACTTTGCCCCATCGTCCAAGTGCAACAATGAGCACCCTGGCCTGAGTCTTGCATCCACACCCGCTCCTGCAGGCTCCAAATGCGCTTATTGATCTGGTGTACTCAACAGAATATGGCCTTAGCTTCTAAGGGCCTTTATCAGGGAGAATGTAGGCAATTCCTGCGGATGAGCACGAGACCGAGACTCAGGTACAAAGATCTCCGGATCTGTGAGTTCGGAGCCGGAGCGACGACCCACTATTTCCGACTGGGCCGTCCGGCTCGTCTGACTCCACTTGGAGCGGCTGCCACCAGCTGGCAGCTTCCAGAAGTAGATCGGAGCTTCCTTCGCGAGTTGTGTGCTCATCTTTCAGGTGACTTCACCTTCTTTTCCCGACGCGACTTCAACCTTACTTCTTAACAGCATCGCATGATTGCTATTCGTCTTACTACCGCCTGAATGATGAAGGACCGGCACCATGTCGACATTCAACGGACTCGTCGCGGAGTTCCCTGACATACGAGGTAAATCCCCTGCCCAATAATGCACACAGCGATCAGCCTGCTGCCTCACAGGATTCACCTCGCACAACCAGGCATATCTGTATCGCGGCATATCACTTACCATTCTACAGTTGACTTCTTTCGGAAGCATCCAGACCGTCGTCCGCCTCTCGCGTGTTTCCTGAGCCATATACACAGTGACCACTTGGCTGGGCTTGACTCCCTACGGTCTCCTTTCGTCTACTGCTCCGCAGCCACTCGGGAGATGCTCCTCCGTCTCGAGCGTTACCCTTGTCGCATCAATCACGCCAAAGGAATCCTCGAGGCACGCGTGCAGACGTACAAGCATCTGAAGAATCTGCTCAAGCCGTTACCCCTGGAGACCCCAACCACGTTGGAGCTGTCGCCAGGCAGTCACATTCAGGTCACGCTATTCGATGCAAACCATTGCCCTGGTGCTGTTATGTTCCTCATTGAGGATTCGTATCGCGCCATACTCTACACGGGCGACATCCGGAGCGAGCCATGGTTTGTGAATACGATTGCAAGGAACCCAGCCGTGATCGAGTACACCTCTGGCATGAAGACGCTCGATAAAATCTACCTTGACACCTCCTTCATCAAGGACATACCCTTCCAGACCAAGGCCGAGGGCATTGCAGAATTACTCCGCAAAATAGCGCAATACCCAGATAACACCGTCTTCCACATCCAAGCATGGACTTATGGATACGAACACGTCTGGATAGCTCTGGCCAAAGCTCTCAATTCCCGCATTCATGTCGACGACTACAAGATGCGCATCTTTTCGTCTCTCACTAGCAAGGTATCGAATGATCGCTTCAGCTCTTCCGTTCATCTATGTCCAGAAGCTCCTGCTCTGGCAGGCTACGTATGTGGGAATACACCCCACCCCGGGTGCCTCACCCGGGATGAGAATGTTCGACTTCATAGTTGCGAGAGGGGAAACCTCTGCAACACGGTGAAAAACTCAAAAGTGGTGTCAATTCAGCCAATCATCGCGCATCTGAGGAGCGGTGCTGACATTGCTGAAGTGGGTGTTGGCGGCGGCGGAGATGATCTAGAACGTGACGCTGAGCTCGACCCTCTGTCAACGGAAGACATCACGGCAGTCTCGAAGCTCATCGAAGATGCGGATATTTCCCCAGAGGCAAAGTTTCGTCTTTCCGAGTTCCTCGAAACGGGTGTCAAAACGGGGCGAAGCCTTTCTCTGGATCTCGATATTGCGTCATTTGGAGAGAAGAATCAGGCGGCCATCATGGACGCCTTCCAAGCAGTTGGTCGAAAGAAGCACCTGGAGGAGCAATCCACACAAATCACGCAACCAGCAATAGACGGGCTAAGCGGGAAACTGCCGAGAGTTATCACGTTTCCCTACTCCCGGCATTCGTCTTATCAAGAGCTATGTGACCTGGTTCGAATCTTTCGCCCCAAGGATGTGTGGCCTTGCACAGTGAATCCTGTCGACTGGCTCAGAAACACCACGAGTATACGATACCTGTTTGGTAATCTCTGCTCTGGCGATACCTTCGCCCACGACATGGAGATGAAGAAACTCGCCGAGAGTCTGAGAATCCTCCAACAACCGTTATCCAAAGGTCTTGGCAATAGTCAATTTCTGGCCACTGAGGCACACACCACGGCATTACACTCATCCCATAGTTGCGAAAGCATCGCAGCCGATCCTTCCGCCGTTGAAATAGAGGAGACACTTGTGCTGGGGCTCGATAGCAACCCCGGGTCCGTTCAGACACGGCTCCCCACACGGAAGCAACGTGACTTCTTCTACCGGGGCGGAAACTCAGAGCACACTCTAGAGACTCCGATCCCGCCCACTGAGTCGGTTTCGCTCATAGCATCTGCCGGTGTTTCTCGCATTCGGGCAGATGCGTATTTTGCCATGGAGCAAAATCTCCTCGGCGGGGAGTGGACGCCAATTAGCCTCCTCTCTACTATTGATCACCATACTACTCCAGATAAGGATCTTGGAATGGTTTGAGCTTGACCAATGTCTCAAGAGCTATATAGCAGGGCATCACAACGCAAGGATTGGGTCCACACTCAGTCTTAGTGACTATGATTATCATTGACGATCGGGTCTTGCTCGTTGACGAGCTACGCGAACCAAGGAAATAGGGCCTCAACGCTGTAATATAACCAACCTCCCATGATAGTGACTGGGCCATACATGGGTACACGCAAACTCCATTCACGTTCTGTTTGCCGCGATTTCCTATTGTGGACGCAACGCTCCAGCTTCCGAAACACCCCACCGGCCATCAATGTACTGTCGCAAACTCTTTCCCCAGAAAGCAAGGGGCACAGCAACACCACCCACGACGAGGAGGATAGCGCCCAATTCGAAGTTGGCACCCAGGTAGCCCTGTGACCTGAGCCATGGTGTAACAGCGTAGCTCGTCGCAAAGCTCAACATGTACCCCGCTCCGCCGACAATGACCATAGCTGGCGCCGCCCACCGAGGAAAGGCTTCCGTTACCCAAAGCGTTGAAGCGATGCCGTACGCAGCCGCGCTGAAGGCGTTGATGAGGTAGGAGACGAAGATCCAGATGAAGCTCCATTTGTAGTGCACGGTGAAGCCGTACAAGAAGATACTGCCCGCACCAGCCAGGACGGCCGGGAGAAAGGCGATGAGGTAGTGTTCCGCATCTCGGACCCCGCCGTTACGGAGTGTCAAACGGCGGGCAACACGCGAAGTCAGGATGGTCGACACGGGCCAAGCGAGAAGGGAACCGATCGCCGAGACAGGGTTGACCATGGAGATGACACGCTCGGGGAGGTTATACGGCGGCTGGGACATGACCACCGCGTACGTTTCGCCAATGAAGATCATTGCGCCAAAGTTGAGGGCGTTAAGGATCGCGACCCAGAAAACGAGGGGATTGCACGCGCAGAGCATCGTCTGCACATAGCATGTCCACATCTCCCGGAACCCTGCACCGCTTTTGCGCACTCCCCATCGCCGTACCATGCCTTGCCAGACCGTCTCGGGTACAGCCTCGGGCTGGATTACCTCGCTGGTCTTTCCGCCTGGCAGCTCTTCCCAGTCGTCGTACATCTTGACCTTTTCCGAACCACCCTGGACGAGGATGTGGCCGTCAAAGGCAACGGCTGGGCGGACGAAGTATGTCTCGGGCAGGAAGAAGAAGGCGCAAACGAATACGGCGAGACAAGGGACGAGCCAAGCGGTATAGAAGCTTCTCCATCCCGGGGCCGCGAGTGCCGGGACGATGCGGAGGGACACGAGGCCACCGCCGCACCCGATACTCCAGAACATGCCTAGAGCATTAGGGCGCTCGTCGATGAAGGTCAAGTCAATGACAATCAAGATGGACTGCAGAAAACACAATTTAGGTTAGTCGAGCACCGGGAAGAAGGACGGAGAAAGAAGGGCCGTCACATACCGCACTCAGGCTCAACCCGGCCGAGAACCCCTGCAAACTCAAAGCCCCGAGGAGCTGGTAGAAACCCGAGGCATTCGCAGCCAGGGCCGTAGCGATTGTCATAAAACACGAAGCTAGCAAAAAGACTGGCCGTCTCCCGATGGCTACCGATAGGGGTATCCAGAGAAATGCTCCGAGGCCGAGAAATATTGTGCTCGGTGTTGAAACGAGAATATTCAGTGGAAACTTGTCGGCTTGCTGAGAAATGTGTTAGCACCTGGTCGGCTGGGTTTGAGGCATCGCCGCCTGATAGTAGCAGAAGATCATACCTGTCCGTTGAACTCGACAGCGAGAGATTTGTACATTAAACTGGCAGCTTGCGTCTCCAGCATGGAAACAATCGAGTATAGTATGAGTACTCCCATGGCGACTAGTCGCTTCGGCAAACTCCAGTTCAACGGGTCATAGGGCGAGTTACTCGGCATGGGAAGCTTGAGCGTCTTGCCATCAGAGGTGATGAGGTAGATGCTGCCAGAGAGGTCGGCCGAGGCCGGCCGGTCTGACGATCGACTGCTGGCGCGGCTCATCTTGACTTTGAAAGAGGCAAAACGGGTAGCAAAACAACAGAGAAAGAGGGGAGACAGAGCAAGAGAGAAAGAGAGAGATACTCGTGTAATAGTGAGCGGACACGATTATTGCAAAATTGGACCAAAATGTCAAATTAACGACGGCCGGTGTGCTGCCAGAACAACCCGATGGAGACGACAACAAACTAAGGTTGACGGGAACGGGAGACCAGGTCCCTTAATATGAAGACCATGGAGTTCTCGAGAGTTTCTCTTGACATGTGGTGCGTGGAGAAAAGAGAGACCACGTTGGGCCCTGGGTTCGATAGAGTAGAGAGACACTGGAGTAGGGCAACGGCGTGCCAAAGCCAAAAAGTTGGGAGGAAAAAAGCGTACGGCATGTTCGGTCGTCGACTGCGACAATCTTTTGACGATTTGGGAAGGCATCACAAAAAGTTTATTCGAGTTAATTACAAGCTACAACGGGCCAAGACCAGCAAACCTCGAGGTAGATTGTGTACGGAGTACCCTTTGTAGAGTAAGGCTGATTCTTCTCTCCCTCTTCTGCTCTCTTGAGCGTGCTAACCGCCATCTGAAACCCAACGCCATGGCCCCTGGACTCTCGAGGCTTGCTGCTTGTGAGGTAGCAAGGGGTGGATAAAGTGGTGTATCCGTAGGTAGGCAAGGTACGATGTGATCGTGCACCAAATTTTCCCTGGCGGGCGCAAGTGGTGTATCAACAACGGCGGAAGATGGTGTAGAGAAGGACGGCTGGGGAGTCTGGATGTGATGGATTGGGCCCGTTCCCAGTCGCGGGGTCGGCGGGGTTCAAGCCTGTTTGGTTTCCCTTCATCGCTTCATCGCAAACATGTTGGAGGACAGTTGTAGTACGGAATCGTTGTCCGACTGCAAAAGAACAGACGAAGACGAAGCCAAGCGGTGAAGCAGAGTGTGCGTGTGTGAGCAGCAAAAAAATGCAAACTCCATCCGACTGACAGCAACAAGGTTCGTGCCTAAAGTTTAAATCGTCAATCTTGGCATGCTATGGAGAGGCTCGGGAGGCTTAGTCGCTTAGAAGGCAATAGGCAAGTCGATGTCGACGGGTACCCCTGGGCTATCACGGGCGACTCGCCCAAAACCGTTTCAAGCGGAAGTTTATTGACAGGTTTGGCGGGCTCGGGTTGGGCACTGGACAGTGGAGGGGTCGTTCTGCGTGCTACGCTATTTACTGGGCAGAAAGTCTGATCGTGATGGAGATGAGGACTCTCCAAGTCAAATCTCGGGAGGGGTTGGCCGCCAGACGAGATTGTGAAATTGGGTGCTTATTACATAGCCTTGCGTTCAACTCTGGGCTTGGGATCTGCCTGTCGGCACCATCCGTGCAACGGTCCCAATCGGCGGCGTTTGGAGCAATATGAGTTTCGGCCGAGCCGCCGATTTAACAGCTGCTGTGGGTAGCTTGGAATTCCGCAGAAGACAGACATCTTGTGCTAGATGCTAGATGAGCTTGTGACTTTGAGAGAGAAAGGATGCTGCGAGAGAAGCATGCGGAAAAACAAGTTTGCCATGGCAGAAATCAGACGGAGTATCTGCATTGGAAGACTCCATGCATACACATAACACCCAGTACACCTTCTCGCGACCCCTTATCCAAACTGGTTGGTGATAGGACCCAGTCCGAGAACCAACGTCTCATATGCACCGCTCGTCCGTTTGAATCCTTAACTGAATTCTTATTCCAACTTTCCAAGTCATATCTCCTCACTAGAGAATTCCAAGTCGTGAGAGCACGCGACTGGTTGGCCAGACAGTTACAGACGTGGTAAGCAACATTAAACCAACTAAGGTAGCCCCCGGCGGCCGAGAGCATCGGAGGGTCATCGGGTTTCAGGACATTTCGTTCGTCGTAGTCCATGGTTCGTCGTATTGCCGGATCCTTTCCTGTCTGACAGTCTGCAAGACGTGCAGAATGCGGGCAACGTGCCATCCAACGGCGGCGTGTGCCGTGTGTGTGGACTTTTCCCCCTCGGGATCCTAAGGAGCACTGTACCCAAGGTAACTCAAGCATCAAGATTCAAGGGCCCGTCGTATGCCTCCATTCGGGTCGGTGGATCGGGGCAGAATCTTCGGTTACTGATGACCAAGCAGGCAGTATCCGTAGTAATTCACGGATATTTGGATTAGTGGGAAGTGCGCGTGAAATTCTGGCCCCAGTCAGTTCGTCCCACAGTCCAATCCACGCGAGACGGCAAACGGGAGACCCTTCCTGCAATGTCGGCGGCTGGAAGAAGCCCTGGCAAGCCTTGCTTATTATTTAGCACATTACGGATACTCCGTACCCCCGCAATCATAATGGTTGGCGGGGGTTCTCGGGGAATCGGGGCAGACGGAGCCTCTGCGTTTGCCCGACATTTGGGGGCCAACGGGCCAGCTTGGTGTTCTTGGTGCTGCACTGCTGGGCCGCCGGAGTCTTTTCGTGGGATGCTTCCAGGTTGCGGCCCCCCATATCCGTAGACATACCTTGGACTGACTGGTTGAACTGCTTCTTGAAGTGGTAGAGATTGGTCCCGATGGACCTTCTGCAACGAACAGGTGGTGTGTGTTGATGCGCACGAAACACTGGCAATGAAACCAGGAGCCCAAAGGCAAATCTCGATCGAGGTCGATTCACATCCTCCCACCGCCAACTGACCGTCCAGTCTGGGCCGCCCCTCTGTGTCAAGCAAAGACGCCATTGGAGGCTCACATCGCCATCGGTCGCGAGCCTTCAGGTCGCTTTCGCTGTTGCTACGCTCTGATACCTAGCTCACCTTGAGGAGTGAGTGAAGGCTCACACACGCCGTTCGTCCTTCTGCCCCCTCAAACATGACTTCAAAATCCAGATGGACAATTCCCTTCTCTGGCGTCGTCACCCCCTTCGTCTGGAATAGTTGAGTCTGTCCAGTCAGCAGTTCGGCCCAATGAACTGCAGCAACGTTGCAAACTCTTTGGCGAGTAAGTGTCCGTCAGGAACGGAGTTGTCCTTCGGCCATCCATCCTTTCGGCCCTCACGAAGCTCTTCGGGTCCGCGTCTCAGAAGTACGTAAAAGCTGCCAGTCACATTCGTATCCGAAAACGCGCACAACTTGGCGATAGTACATGACCATTATCAATGCAGGAGAAACAGGAGGAGAACCTTATGGGCTTATTGACAAGTGTTTTGCAACTGCTATCCATCACCATTCACATGTTCCTGATTCCGCAGCGTGATTGATCTCTTTTTGGCATGAAGTCGCATGTCGAGCGCGACTCAGTTTAAGTTCTGTACGTCTTATCACCCTTTTAGCTGCGGCGCAATGTGCCCCGAGGGTCAGGATCTGAGTGGTAGGCTGCAGGCCGTCTTTTGGTCCCCGAACAGTGATTTTCAATACAGACACATTGCCGATGGGGACGAAGAGAGAAAGATAGAGACTCCGGAATTTAGCCAGTGGGATGTCCGTATGATACTAAGAAATGCCTCCAGGGAGAATCAAGCAAAGCCGACTGGTATCCCTCCGCTGAAATCCCATGTACAAAGCGACCAACAAGTCCCAAAACCCAACGGTTCTTCGCCCAGGTTTTCCCACAAACATGGGGGCGGGCGGCTTTCACGGAACCTACCACTGTCTGTATCCGTCGTACAGGAGGCTTGTACGATTCTGTCCATCGCACACACTCATGAGACCGGGGATTGATTGGACAGAACTGTAGGCCATGACAAGGATACCGCTCGAGGAAGAAGCGGCCTCTTGGGCCGGGGAGACTCTCATCTGAGAGACTATGGGAGACTCTGGAGGAGGAGGCCGTTCCAGGGCTCTGACCAACCCACGCTCAGAGCGACATTCCGCATTTTAGCCGTGGCGCTGCTACGCGGGTTCGCGGCCCGGCGGGCAGCGCAGACGGAGGTCGTGATGGGGCCACGAGCGCTCGATCTGCCCGTAAGCTCCGCGGCGCCCCCTCCCGCCCTATCTTTTTCACCCGGAAGAAGACGGTTTTGGTGCAAAGTGAGGTTTTTGAAGCAATTTATCTCGTCGCAGATGGATGGTTACCCCCTCCAGGCCAAGCCCAGAACGGCCGGACCAGCTTCTCGGCTCTGCATCCTGTTGTTCCTATGGCCATGCTGACGCGAAGGTAGAGATGGGAATTGTGGACACATTCTGCCTTGTAGTGCGGGCCGCGACCTTGAATCCCTTGATGATAAAGTCTTCGTGATGCCCCAAGAGTACACGCGTTGTTTTATTTACTTCGATTTGAAAAGGGGTTTTCTGTGGTTCTATGAATTTCAGCCACACTAACACTCATGTCAATATTTGAGCCTGTCTTCTTCTGGCCACGATACAAACGACGAGGTCAACTACCGTTTCTTACCATTTCGGCCGTCTTGGTCCGCCACTATTTGCAACCCCTTTTGGGACGGTCACGAGGTGTCATTCTTCACTCGATTCGGAACTGCTGTCAAGAAAACCCCGAGCGACACTAGGCCCAGAACTTACTCTGTTCCTGCGCCGCCGCCCGCTGTCTGTCCGGGTTTTTGGATCATTACCTCTGCAGGACAGGAGTTGTGTCCGGTTTCCACCACTTGGGAATAACAGGCGCTGACAGCCCACGACATTGTGGTGTGGTTTGCGCCGTCACGAGACATTTCGGAATATATAAAAAGAAGACTATTGAGAGCTGGGTTTACGCGTTGCGTTTCGTTCGCTCATTTGAAAGGCCTTGCTTTGGAGGCAACGATCGGATCAACTGACAGCTTCAATCTCACCTCGGCCAGCCGGATACGATATTCGATCTCACTTCTCATGATTCTCAACAACACGACGCATCAGTCTGAGAGTCACTTGAGCACATGAGGTGTCTCTTTTTTCTGCTCTACCCGGGAACTAGACCGGCCCATACACAATATTGATCATCCATCGGGAATCGCATCTGTTGGCTAGCGAAAGATTCTGTTGAGCAGGACTGAGCTTGTACAGAGCAGCTGGAAACCTTTGGTATCAGTACTTACTTTGACTCGTGAGTCGGCTGCAGGACTCGCGCATAGGCGTGTATCAGTGTGAGTGTGTGCATCCAAACACACTACTCACGCTGCTCTCGACTCGAGGTCTCGAGTAATAAGAGTTGCTAAAGTCTCCCCCACCACACCACCCCCCTTTCGATCTCTGGACGACGGCAGCTCGGATGATCTTGGCCCGCTGGGCCGCTGGCCCCACTGAGGCGCCCCCCGCAAATGAGGAGGGGGGGAAAGGAGGAGGAGGAGAAGATGGAGATGAAGGAGAAGGAGGAGCAGCAGTTTGGGGAATTGGAGATGCCGGCAACACAGCGATCCTGACCGAGACGACCAGTAGTAATACGAGCTCAGGAAGCACAACACCAGCTCCCGCAGCACCCTCCTCGTCTGTCAAGTCCCCCAAATCACGGCTGGGGAAGAAGTCTGCTACTACTCGCAGGGGGCTTGGGTCAGGTACACGTACAGGGTCAAGCAGCAGCAGCGGGAGCGGAAGCGGTGGGAGCATCGGAGGAGGGATACCGTTATTAGGAGGAGGGATACTAGGAGTAGGAGGACCCGGACAACCATCAGGAGGAGGGCAAGGAGGAGGAGGAGGAGGAGGAGGAAGACGCAGGACCTCTTCCAGAATTATTAAGACGACCCCGCCGTCGTCTACCGCCGTGTCCCGGGCCACCTCCGTCTCCCCTACCTCTACTCTCCTCACCTCGCCCCCTTCGTCTGCGGCCATCACAGCTGCAACCTCTGCCGCGACGACGCGCTCGCCCACCTCGACTCCCACTGCTGCAGTGGCCGGTGCCGCCGCTGCTGCAGCCGCTGCAAGCCGCAAGGTCTTCCCCAAAAGTATGGAGCCCCCCGTCGTCTCTTTTTACGGGGCCGAGCCCATCCCGTTGCCATCGCGCTTCGCTGGCGTCAAGAAGCGGCTTATCGCCGGCCACGAAGCTGCCGTTGAGGCTTCGTGGCACCGTCTCATCAATGCTCTGAGGACCGAGATTACAGATATCTCCACTCGCGGATCGGAGCTGATCCCGTCCATCAACTTCACCGACATCAATGACCCTGTCCGCGTCGAAGCCTTTGCGCACAGGCTGCGCCGGTATGGTGTAGCTGTCATACGCGGCGTTGTGCCGCCCAACGATGCTCAGAAATGGGTGCACGAAACTCACGAGTATCTCGACAAGAACCGCGAGTTCAAGCCACCCGCTCTTCACGACCCTACTTGCATTGATCTCTTCTGGACGCCCGTTCAGGTGCGTGCCCGCGCGCATCCCAACATGCTGCGCGCGCAAAAGTTCGCAATGTCCTTTTGGGAATCGACAGACGACGTGCACATCACCCGGGCACCTGTGAGCTATGCCGATCGTCTTCGTATTCACAACGACAAGCTCGGCGCCGTCGGTCAACCCACCGGAAACTCGGCCGCAGACTCTCTTAGCACCACTGCCTCATCAACCGTTATCGCGCAAATCGACAGCGGCAGTCTAGAACGCTGGGAACCGGACGGTTACGGCCGTGGCGGCACCTACGAGGCCGTCTTCCGCGGCGACTGGGAGTCCTACGATCCCTGGGATCCGGCCGGCCGAGTCGGTGCCACGACGGATCTGTACAACGGCGCGGGCGCCTGCAGCATCTTCCGCATGTTCCAGGGTATTCTCGCGCTCACCGAGGTTGAGCAGGGCATGGTGCGCGTGTTGCCGTCGCCCAAGCTGGTGGCTGCGTACTTCCTCTTGCGGCCGTTCTTCTCGCCGAAGCGTGGGCCGCCAGAGCAGCCGGATGGCGGCAAGGCGGACCAGTGGGCTGCGTATCTTGATGCGTCCAACTGGACGCTTGACCTGGAGCCAAATACCATTATCCACGGAGCCGTCCCGGGTCATGCTCAGCGTCTCACGGAACGCTGGCACCCGCATCTGCATCTGCGCAGGAGTCTGGTCTCTATGCCTAGCCTACAGGCCGGTGACTACGTCATCTGGCATTGCGACCAGGCCTACTCCATCATCACGGGCGGCACCAGGTTAGGCGTCCCGCCGTCGTTGCAAAACGAGTCAAATGAGCTTTCCCTGCTCACGTACACCCCCGTTTGCCCCCTAACGCAGACAAATGCCCTGTTCCTCGCTCGCCAGAGAAAGGCATTCCAGACCGGTCAACCGGGGCCGGACTTTGACACGCTGGGTGGGCTGGGAAGCGAAGCCTCGCATCAGGATCGTCCCGGTGCCAAGGAGGTCGAGGAGTACGGCGGAGTCGACGGCCTCCGCGCAATGGGATTGGCACCCTACGATGTCGAACCAGCGGGTGTCATCCCGCCCAAGCATGCGGATGCCATGGATATTGATGATGAGGAGGGCATCAGGAACAAGACAAAGACGGAAGCGGAGACGGAACTCCTGCGGCTGGCAAACATCATTCTCTTCCCGAGCCGCTACGATTTCTATATTCCTACAAATGGCACCCGAGGCAGCGGCGATCGCACTCCTCGCGCGACTGCAGGACCGCCAAAGACGGTGGTGAACGGCAGTAAGAACGGCAGCAAGAGCTGACGGCGTTGGTTGAAGGGGCGATGGCGGCGCGGCGATCGGCGACAGGTGGACTCGTCGGGTAGAGAGATTGTGGGGGAAGAGGATGAGGACGGCGAGGAACCGGAGACCATCGTCGAGACTGTGACCTCCAAGGGGATGAGTGAGGGGACCATCACAGTTACAGTCACCGCGGCGGAAGTCTAGATTGCTGTTTTTCTTACCGTGATACCCTGCAATCGGGCGACTCGTCGACGGAGGACTGGATGATAGAGGAAGAGACTGTCCGAGTGTGAGAGAGAGTGTGAGAGAGAGTGTGTGAGGGTGGGACAGAGAGAATGGGAAGGCCGCCCCTTCAACGTGACGCTAGAAAGCACATATTACGCGTGTAGATGACGATCGAGTTCAGGATCGAGGAATGAAGGAAGACCTGTCAATATCCAGTACGACTGACTGTCGGACCGCGATTGAGGACTGGAACGATTGGTAGACGAAACTTTGCGAGATTTCATGCATCTTCATGTGCTTGGCGGGATCCGCCGTCAAGACCCGATACTTTGTTTTAGCCCTTCATCTTACCACATTTGATTTTGTATGCAATTGTATCTGCGGTCTGCAGACTGCAGACCGTGAGTGTACGACGTGAATAATTACGGCGAATATTGATCAAAGGGGCGGGCGTTGCAGGATGGCGGCCGGGACGTAGCCGGTTCTTCGGCTGAAGAGGACCGGGACGTGTTCCCGGCTCACACCACCACACTTCCCTTTCTTAGGCTCTCATACCTAGTCTCACTTTCAGATGGCGCCGCCCCGAGAGTTTGGGACCGGGCCTGGCTCTGCGCCGGCCGCTGTATTGACCTTACAGCCGGGAATGCGCTTTTGGGCGATCCGATTAGATCCCCTGGCTGTTGGGTTGTCAAACGCGCGCCCTTGAAGGGTGAAGAAGCATATAACGAAGCTCCTCCATGACCTACTGTTCATATTGATATTGCAATGGCAAAAACTTGTACCAAACTTGTACCTGTCTCGGTGGGCACATTGCGAGCACTTCACGCAATGGAGGGCACCACATCGCCGCATCTCAGAAACCCCACGCATGCGAGCCACTTCCCCGTGTTTTATTGCTCCCGGTCTTGATCCTATATTTTGCAAACAGCATACCGGTCTGTCATTATCTTCCCTTAAGCCGAATTGGTCCCAGTTTGATCGGTCAAGCGTCGGCGCCCCTCTCGGTCTGGATCCTATCTTGGGGCGCATCGACCCATTTAATACAACCAAATGTACGTAATAAAACACTTTGAAAAAGAGGGTTCGCGCGGTGATAGTGAATTTCCCCGGACGACAAGATGGGGATGCGTTAGTGCCTGACACCACTCCACTGTCATCTAATTACTATCAGGTCTCTCTGCCTCGTCTCGAACGCCGCGTTCTGGTGATGGGTTACCGGCACGAATACCTACACAGACCGTACGGCGTAGAATTGAGACTTTGAGAAAGCCAAGACAATTTACTGGGACCGAGGCCAGCCAAACCTAGACAAACGCGCGCCCTACAGACAAACTAGGTACGGGATTCCGAATCCTGCTGTGTGCACTCTGCACTCTGCAGACGAGCGAGTCAGGCCCCGAACGTTCCCGCAAGCCGTGATTGGGACGATGGCAGACCGCGCTGTGTAGCCTGCGTGCCTGCGTTCAGGTTGGGCGTCTTGGACCCGGGGCTGGGTTCTTTGTCGGGGTTCTACCCGCTTTCTGTGCATCTTCTCCTGCAATGGCACCGCAAATCATCCCGCCATGCTCCTTGTTTGATGGGAAAGGTACGGAACATGGACATGCCAGCCCGGAGCTAAGCAGGGCCTCCAGGGCTTCTGCTGCCGCGTTCCTCGAGGAAGCTACACACCTTTTCGGCGTGGCCGCCGGCAGACACAAGCAGTACAGAGCCGTCAGTCATGCCAGAACGCGGTCGTTTGTCGGTAGTAATTGGAGCTAAGCCCCAAGTTTTCGCCTCTCACCCGCGCTTCTCCAAGGGTCTTTTCGGTCTTTTAGGTGCTTCAGCCAACCATCAACTCGACGTCTATCGGATAATGGGGGGGCTTCTTCCTGGTTCTCATGGCTGAATCCGACGTCGGATGTCGCTCGACCCATTGCCAAGATATTAGGAAATGGTCTGGCTCAAGACCAAAGGCTTGCGGCTTGAGGCCTTGGATTCTGGAGAGACTTGGAGACAAGCTCAGGACCTGGAGCACACGTCAGCCCGACGCCAACCAGGAAGAACTGAAGGGAGCGAAAGGCGTGAAAAGTCTCAGCAAATGCTTGATGCGTGGGCCGCCCAATCGACGACTGCCGGGGATTTTCTGGGCCCCTTGTTCTACCCAGTAACATCTGTTCCACCAAGTCTCCTCTTTCGGATCAGTGGCTATCGTCGGCATCACATTCAGATTTCCTCTTACCCCAATGCTTGAGGTGATTCTCAGCTCATGGCCTGCCGTTGGCCTGTTGCTGCAATGATTCGACCAGGCGCGGAATTCGGATGTGTACGCCAGTGGAACCCTTGGACGGCTAATCGTAAACGTGGGAATGAGGGCATCTTCATTGGGAATGGATCAAAGAAACGCGTCAAGATACCCTCAACGAGGTGACTTTCTCTCCGTTATCGTCGGTATCGCCCGTTCTGACGTTGCCTCCCTTACCCCCAAGCAGGGATGCTTCCTCCTCAAGTCTCCTCCCCCCGCGCCCACACTTCTGATCGCCCCAGCCAGCTGCCAACCATCCCCTGGCGCGGTTTGCTTATCTCTGCGGGGCTCCTATTAGATGGGGCACTTGGGCCCGTCCGTTGGTCTTGTCTATCACGACCCGAGTAAGTCGCATACTTACACACATACCCAGTGGTAATACCTCCGTAACGCTCCGTATTGGCTTGTCTCTCTCCCAGGAACCGGGAGACGTCAGATGAAGGTTAGCAAGCTAACCATGGAGGGGAAGGGGGGCCGCCGGACGCAAGGTAGCGTCGGGCCAGGGGCACACAACCAACTCATCTATATAGAATAACTGCCCTCCTCACTCGTCCAGGTTGTTGAGTTGTGTTTCAGTCGCATCCTATTAGATCTGCTCGGCGTCTCTGAGAGTGGTACTACCCGACTTCAGCCAGCAATTACCTATACCTGGACGACTTGTGTTTTTAGACAGTTGGACGTCGGATCACCGAAGAAAAAACACAGATCTTACCGTCACCCGCCCAACATGGCTTCAGGGATGGAAGAAAAGACTGTCGGCCTCAGCCGTGCCGACAGCACCAACAGCAACAAGCTCGGGACTGTCATGTCTGGCACCAATGCTGCTGTTGCTCAACATTATGGCGAGACCCAGCGTGGTCTCAGCCCTCGCCATGTCCAGCTCATGGCTATCGGAGGTTCTATTGGTACCGGTCTTTGGGTAGGTCTTCTCACAGCCTTACGAGGTTTGCGATTTGCAGCGCAGCTATCTCGAGATTCTAATACGTTTTGACAGGTCGGTATTGGCGGTGTCTTGTCCAAGGCCGGCCCTCTCTCTCTCGTTCTCGGTTACACTTTCTGGGGTCTCCTCTTCATCTGGCCGCTCAACTTGTCTGTCGCCGAAATGTGCGCCTACCTGCCCATTCGCGGTACCATCTTCGAACTCGCCTCTCGCTTTGTTGACCCTGCTCTCGGTTTCGCCATGGGATGGACTTACTTCTTCGCCGGTCTCATGTTGGTTTGTACGGAATACAGCGCTGTCGCAACGGTCATTCAATACTGGAACGCGGATATCAACCCAGCTGCCTGGATTGCCGTGGCCATGGTCTCCTGTGTGGCGGTCAACTTGGTTGCAGTCAAGTACTACGGAGAATCCGAGTTCATCATGGCTTCGACAAAGGTCATACTGCTGATCGGCCTGTGCCTCATCACCCTCATCACCATGTCCGGCGGCAACCCTATGAACGACGCCTACGGATTCCGTAACTGGGGCGACGGCAACTACATCCACGCCTATTTCACCGACGGGTCGACAGGAAGGTTCTTGGGATTCTGGAAGGTTGTCATCTACGCTGCCTTCACCATTGCCGGTCCCGACATGATCGCCCTCGCCGCTGGTGAGATCCAAAACCCCCGCCGCACCATCCCTCGCGTCGCCAAGCTCATCTTCTACCGCCTTGTCGGTTTCTATGTTGTCGGTGTTCTGTGCGTCGGCATCATCTGCAGCTCCCGCGACCCTGGCTTGCTCGGCGCCATTGAGAGCGGCGAGCCCGGTGCTGGTGCTTCCCCTTGGGTTGTCGGTATCAAGAACCTCCACATCAAGGCTCTTCCCGATATCATCAATGCCTTCATTCTCCTCTCTGGATGGTGAGTACCCTTACTACGTGATGCTTACTCTCGAATCATGCTGACAGCTTTCAAGGTCCTGCGGTAACGCTTACCTCTACTCGACTTCCCGCACTCTCTATGGTCTCGCTCGCGACGGACAGGCCCCCAAGTTCCTCCTCAAGTGCACCAAGGCCGGTGTTCCCATCTACTCCGTCCTTGTCGTCACCGTCATCTCCTGCATCACCTTCCTTGTCTCGTCAAACAGCGCCGTCGATGTCTTCTTCTGGTTCGTCGACTTGACCACCACCGCCCTGATCATGACATACACCTTCATGCTCATCACCTACATGGGCTTCTACCGCGCCCGCATGGCCCAGAACTTCCCTCCCGAGACGCTCCCCTACCTGTCTCCCTGGACCCCGTACTTCCCCGGTCTGGCTCTGCTTTTGGGCATCCTGGCTCTCATCTTTGTTGGTTTTGACAACTTCTATCCCTTCAGCGTGAGAGGCTTCATCACCTCCTACTTTGGTCTCATCTTTGGTGTCGTCACCTTTCTCATCTGGAAGGTTCTGAAGAGGACCCGCTTCGTTCACCCCAAGGAGGCAGATCTCATCAGCGGAAAGGCCGAGGTTGATGCCGAGTGCCGTCATTGGGAGGAGGGTGGCATCGAGGAGGTGGAGAGAGCGAGACTGGCTGAGATGTCTTTCGTTAGGAGAACCTGGGAAAAGATGTGGTAAAAGTTGCTGGTAGCATAACGATAATTATTTGATGTTTCAATGACTATAACATTCTGTCAAACGTGCGACTATCATTCTTTCTTGACGTCTGGGCTTCGTTGAACAACTTGCTCCAACTTGGTAATGTTTAACTAAGCTCAACCACTTGGACTCAGAGATATAGGCTACATCAGCGAACCACTGCTTGCTTACAGCTGTTGACTCATATCCAGATACGTTAACCCCGGCCAGCTTGTGCTCCCATTAGAGCCAATGCAACCGACACAATCCCTGGAACTACGCTGCGTCCTTCCATCTGACTGCATCAAGTCGCTCGCTCGCTCGTTCTTTGACGGATATGATTGCCAACATAACGTTCTGGTAGCTCAGCAGGGAGAGCGGCAGGTGCCGTTCACCGCGGTCCTGCAGGTCGTGTGTTCAAATCATACCCAGAGCCGAATATCATTTTTGCTTATTCTACTTACTCAGTTTTCGATCTACGGTGTCATTACAGCGCCTATTCCAAGCCCCATAACATTTAGTACATGAACTGACACCGTCGTCTCTCAATTACGTAAAGCTCATTTTCCCCGCCTCGCTTGGACTTGCGGGGAAGTTCGCTCGTCTCCAACTCTCCAAGGTGTCCATACAGATTCGTGTTCTAGATGCAACTTCAACTCACTTGGCGCGGCTCTCGTTGCGAAACCGGCTTATCCCACCGGGCCTAAGATGCTCAAATTCTCCAAACTCACGCGATCATTTACTGTAGCCGTGCTGGCCTAGTAATGCGGCCCGCCAGGTATTCGACCTCACGACAAAAGGCATGCCAGCCATGCGCGACCGCCAAAGCCAAATGTGACCGGAAAGCTGTGACATGTTCCCGGTGCCACCAGCGGGGCCTCCCATGTCTCTATCCACAGGCTCGGACGATCCCTTCATCCGCGCCGGGTGCTGCCGGTCTGCATTCAGAGGCTGAAGCCGAGGTCGATACGGACCGCGTAGCAACCACGATATCCGCGACTGTGGAAGCGAACGCGGGGTTCTCGCCGTTTCGAATCATTCCGTCAAACGAGACGTGCGCTTCCTTCCGGGCGGGCGAACTGCTGGCCACAGACACCGATCGATCAGACGTCCTCAAGCCTGATGTGTTCGACTTCTCGGACATGAGCCTTGTCTGCACCATCAACGCTGATGACATTGCCAATCGATGGCTGAATAACTTCGTCCCAATACCGGGACAATTGGTAAAGAACTACTCGCCGAGTATATCGGCTTTCATCCAGAGGATTCTGGAATCCTACGTGGATTGTTCCATCCGCGGGCGCAAGGTTCCTCCTTTTGTACATTGGTCCCAGATAACTCTGCCATCCAGCCAACCCTTGTCAAATTGTCTTAGGGTCATTCGAAGCTTTGGTGGGCCCGATGTGGCAGGCGCCGAGGCCGTAGCCAACGAACTCAAGGTAGAGATGGCGAGGCTTTACAGCCAACACGCTTCCTACGATGATATGGCACTCCTCGCAGCATTTCAAACGCATCTTATTTACGCCATGGTCATCTTTTTCAAATTCGGGAAAGCTTATTACCCATTTCTACGGGAGGCCATGATGAGTACCCAGGACCTCGCATGTGCGGTGGCGAAGAAAGGACTCACGTGCGTTTCCGGAGATGAGCCCCGTCCCAGGTGGGAGTGCTGGATTGCCGCCGAGGCTAAACGAAGAACTCTGTTCACGATGTGCCTCTTCGATAGCGCCCTGCTGACACATGACGGCCTCTCAACTCATCTTGCCACCGAGTTACGCGGGTTATCAGCGCCGGCGTCCAAGGCGTTGTGGGAGACTCGAACGAGGCGCGACTGGAGAGGTGTATATGACCTTCAGCAAGCAGAATGGCCAGATAGTTGGCTGGCTATCGACGAATTATGGCCTGTGCCTGAAAATTTCAGCGAGACTGAAGTTATCCACAGGCGTACAAGAGTAAAAGCATGGCTGGAGGACCTAGACGAATTCGGCACAATGATATATGCTGTGACCAGCGGTACCCACGGTACCTGATTCCGGCCAAAGACATCTGTTATTCACATTAAGGTCAGGTGTCTGAGAAGCGTATAATAATTTCTTGGAATCAGTATTGACTGGAGACTGGATGTGGTCTCCCCCAAGTATGGAGGCTGAAACAAATACTCAGACTATCGTGACCATCTCTTCAGCGACATGCGCGAACCAGTCTCGAAGTGGATACTCTTCCGTGCGACAGAAGCCAACACGACGGAACTCTTGCGGCTGGCTTGTTGCCTCTAGCAGGAGCCCGTACCAACGGCTTGGCTCTTTGACTCTTCTCGACACCTGTAAGTAGTAGAGAGGGATGTTACTTCCGCAGTAATCCTTGTCGAACACTGCTAATCCGACCATGATCCCATTCTCCTTAAGCAAATCAATTGCTAACTCTTCCCGATAGGTCGAGAACCTCTGATAACCCGGGGATTCTGGGTTTTCTCTTGGATCGGCTAGTCTGAGCTTTCCCTCTAGCTGCAGATATCCCGATTTCAACATACCCCTCGGGTCCAAGCCGAGTGGCGTTGTCTCTGCTTGAGTAATCCTCACCACCACCTCCATCTCGTTTCCCGAGGGCAGAATGTTTCCGATCTCGGGCATCATGACAGCGCCTTCCAAAGACGCCCAACTCCAACTTGGGGCGCGAAAGCCATCTGACGGGGTTTCAAGCCAATTCTCGCTTCTCCTCCAAAGCAACCCATAATGCAGGTGGTACTTCCACAACCCGGCAAGGTATCGCTGCCCGGTGCATTCCTCCATCACCTTGGCGAGACCGGAAAGCGCTGGTAGCCGATCGCAGGACTTGGTGATGTCTCTTCTACTATATGCCGATACCATATCGTACCAGTCCCACACGAATTCTGATGTAGATAGACGTCCTTGCGCAAAAGGGGATGAAAGGTGAAGTCGTTCGTCCCACACTAACTTTTGCACTGCGAATGCATCCGTCGGTACCCCATCTTCTGCCAGACGAGATTCACGACATTCCCAAAGAAGTTGATCAGAGTCGTAGTGTACCATTCGGGCAGATAGTAGGCGCTCTTGCGTTACCCACGCACGTGAATGTAGGATGCTTTGTGGTAGGTGACTGAAGTCACGAGGTCTGGGTCGTAAGAATACGGGAATAGACACCGATTCATCGTTCGTCTTCCGAGTACACTTAACTTGAACGTGATTTGAAGTTGAACGCGGTAAGAAGCAACCCCCTGTGGAGTCTGCGGACGCTGAGGCAGCGATGGTCAGACATGAAGAGGCGTAGATAGTGCCCATCTTCACACTCTCGAGTTCCCAGTCCTCTTTTGAGTCCTGTACGATGCAGAGGGAGTCGATCCATAGATACTGAACGCCAAGTGACCTCGTTATCAAGACTGCGTCTCTGAACGTTGGAGGTAACTTGGACATTGGCAACGACTTGATGTGGCCATTAATTGTCTCGCTAGTGGTGCGAATAACAGGATGTAAGCCCCAACAGTGACTTAATGTCATGTATCGGCCGACTTCTCCACTCGTCACAACGAGCCGAGGCTCCCTCACTCCTTCGACACCGACATCTACAACTCGGTTGGGCAGAGTAGCAGGGGCTGAATGGCAACTCTGGTGGTGGTCTTCACACTCGCGCACCCAGTCTTTCACAAGACTGAGTTGCTTAGCGGGAGGTTTGATGGGTCTGCCTAGGATGGAGTCCTCTAGCCGGGTCGTCTCGTCTTTGGGATAGAAGCTGAAATAGCAGTATGCCCTCGGGCTCAGGCGATCGCAGCGGACCTTGACCCAAAAGAGTCCCCGAGACTCGTACTTCTCATCTTTGTACTGAGTGCCCCGCAAGATAACCGGCGAGTCTGTGTCATACCAAGCCTCTTGGTCAACACTAACTCCCTCGACCCGGAGCTTTTCGGTGATAGATGTGTGGAAGAGTTGACACAAATCGCACGCAGAAACATTTCTCTCGATATCAGCGATTGAAGAATGAAGAATAATGTCCTGAACTTCGTATTCCTCATCAACTAGGTCAGCAAGATCAAGCTGACGGCAATTTTGACAAAGAGACATGGTCGAGGGCTTCTGGGCGTCAACATGTTCCGATGAAGGTCGAAATGAGAAAATGAGCAGCTGACTTATGAGGGGTTTACCAGGAAGCCCCGCTGCACACATATAGACTTGGGCTCCATTCGTAGTGAATGATACAGGAGGTTGGAGTTTATGCAGCTCTGCGTGTGCACAAAACAGGGTTACATTCAGCCGGCGTATCTTCTGCGACGCCAAGCGCTTCACTGGAGATTTCAGAATTCCACTGTACTGTCGTTACCACTGAATCACCAGCTGTTGTCTAATTTTGTACCATAGTAGGCGAAGGTCACCAGTTGGTGGCGGTCTTGAACCTACCAAGTCTACATCAATTTCCGCGGGGGAAGAATGTTAGCAGCAACCATGCGATCAAAGGCGATGAGATAGCCTTCGGTCATGCCCAACTCTTCCTGAAACCCAACAGACCGGATCTTATCCAGACACATTGCCCGATTTCTCTGTAAGAGAGAAAAGCCGACCCCCATCGTGAATATCCAAGACGCAGCTGGTATATCACGGTGCTTCAAGCCATACTCGGCACACATCCTCTTGTAGTCATCTTGGTGTTCTTCCCACCACTTTTCGACGGGAAACGTTGCTGAAAAATATGTTAAGATATATCAAAGAGGAATGGCAGCGGTATAGAGACTCACTCTGTGCTCCCTCAACTGGAGGCGTTCCCTGCAGCCCGAAATAATCGACCATGACAGGCCATCGCTCCACCCAGGAAACTGGAGTTGCATTATCAGCAGTATTGAAAGCTTCCCCGTTCAATTCTTCTGGCTTCACGGTCGATAAATAAATATGAGACTTTGCAATAATATCCTGCGATGAGTCTGTGTTGGTGTGGGTGTAGTTCGTAGCTGTACCAATGAACTTGATTTCGGCTCCGGGCCCATGGACATAACGCCAGAGCGCAAGGAAAAGAGCGATCGGCTCAAGAAACGTCATGATTGAAGTCGTACCAGGAACGAAGCCGACGATTGCATCGGGGCGAACTTCACACCATCTCCAGGACTTGCCCTTCTGTAACTCCTCGATAGCATCTACTTGCCCGTAGTAGAAGATTTCATCTCCGTATGGAGACGGAATTCGCGGCTGAGACTCTTTCAATGGAGGATGTATCTCAATCTTGTCCTGATGTTGGAAGACAGCCACTCCGTAGCTCTATTTCAGTATCGTAAGTAAGGTAGTGGCATACAATGAACACAGCAGAGTAGCAGATGGCAGATTACTAACGTTGGTGCCAGTCTGCAAACTCAGAAATTTCAGACTTGAGCAGATCTCATCAACCGCCTTGACAGCGTTTCGAGTCATGGTGACGTTGATATTACGAATCTCCATGACGTCGACTGAATATGCTGTCGCATTTGAGTAGGCTCTTTCCGTCTCAGTTCACATACCATATCTCGTCAACGGCTGCAATACTGACCACAGTAGTACACATGCGTGATGTCCTGCATGTTGGGGATCTTGATTTTCATTTGCTCCTTGACAGTCTCGATATCCTCACGTAAGTTGATGCCAGAGTAGATCTCCAAACGAGGATCATTCTTGGGAAGTTGGCTTCCTGACAGGTCCATCGGTCGGTTTGTTAGACCAATAATGCGGCAAAATGTGGATGCTGTGGGATAAATGAACAAATTGTTCGTGACTGCCCATCCGGAGATCCCACTAGCACCGAAGACCAGCGCAACATATTTGCTGGTAGGCTCCATAGTTGGGAAAGACCTGATCGAATGATACGCCAGCCAGTAACTTGTTGTCAGCGGGAGGTTGAGATCTTGATGAACAGGGACTGGAGAGCGAAGAGAAGAGTTGGGATCAAAGAGCCTGACGGAGCGTGTGTCGCTTATTTATGACGGCGTAGATGGCCATGATACTTGGCTAGAGCCTGATGGTCTAGACCCCGAGTCTTGAGTGTTTACCGGACAATACTGCCTACAGCAGACCTTGGACCGAGCTGTCGGATTCGAACCCTAGTCGCCCGTTGCCTGGTCCGGGCCGCGGGGTTCGAACTGTGGAGTTGCAGAGAGAGTGCGAGTGGTCGAATCACATTCTTCAGCGAAGAAGCGCTAGACCCCTGCGACGAAGCGTCGATGGGTAGGACGAGGTAAAGGTTCTTATGAAGCCTAACTACCTTATTATTGACTTCACTTCTTAGCTTTTGAAATCGTATGTTTTAAGATAGCAAGCGTCTCTAAGGAGCACCATGGTACATATCATGGCCCAACTAAACAGACTGAGGAGGTTCGGGAAGGAGATATGCCTCAAGAAGACCAGCACCAAGATAATGAGACTTGACTACAATTTTTGACGGAAATGGAATGTGCTTAAGTCATTGTCTGCCGAGCGAAATGCCATTGAATGCTATTGAATCGTTGCTACCTCACTCCCCGCTTGTCTCAATAGCCCAGGAAATGTTTTCGTTCCAACTTTGAAGCTTGTAGCCAGTCCACTAGCCTTTCCCCCCACAATCTCGATGCGTGTCTATTCAGGGACCTATTAGACAAGAGAAAGTTTCATATGATCAGTGCCTAATCCGTTATGCCCGATACAGAAAAACAAGTACCCAATTTGTCCAGTCTAGTCGGCTCTTGATTGCGCGTTGGAACTCGTTCTCAAGAAAGGGCCGGCGGGCCGCCGATCACGCGATTCGAGACAATTAAATTGTCTTGGGTGGTATAAGCAATATTCGAGTTAAGATTAGTACTTGACCAAAAAGGCGTTTTTTTGAGGTTTGGAAAGCTCGGTTGAAGTATCCAGCCTCGCGGAAAGTATCCACACATATTGAGACAAACGTACTCTCCCTGAGATTTAAAATACAAAACTCTACACGCTTAAGCTGCGATTACCAACTGCTCCCGCTGACAAAATCGAAAAATCGCATCTACATATATGTCAGGTAAGGTAGGTGAGTAGGTACCTTAAGTAAAGATGACTGCTGCACATGCAAGACTTGTCTATGGTAAGGCAGCTGAAAAATCGTGTTCAATTTAAGAACCGACTGATAGCTTCTAATTCATACTAATCACACTTATACCAAGGAATTGAGGCCACTCCTTCACTTGTGTGTTGTTCACCTGACTTAATTAAGTTCAAACTCCCTTCTCCACCGCCACATGAGTGCCCAACGCATGTCCCGTATGACGCCATTCAAGTCGTATCGCTCGATACCTTACTTCCCCACGATCAATTCATGTGTTCACGCTCATGATTCCCTATTCATTCAACCCCGAAATTTGTTCCTTTGATTAGAAGCATGTTGGTACCTGTAGCTATTTATTCTCTGGGCCTTACTGCAACTTGATTCGAGAACAGCTATATTGCCTGCTGTAGAAGTAAGCATTCCTCAGAGCTTAGGGATTTTTTGGAAATCGTTCAATCAGAAGTTTCTCTGTTGATCACGATAGTATCAATTTATTTGTCGTGCGTTGGTGAGTCTAGTGTAGGTGAACGGGCCGACCAGATGCTAACATGAAGACAGACAGCAGTCGCCTGAAGCAATGGCAATCCAATTAAAGCTGCTGTCGAGGCCAAGTCTAACGTCCTGCTCATCCTGTCACTATACCGAGCGATGGACGAGACAACGAAACAATATTAGAGCTCCAGAAGTTGTTGGTCATCGTTGTACCTCGTTGATCGGCCTGTATTGATGATTGAACTGGTTCTGAGCCCTTGAAGAGCAGTTCTAAATGCTTCAACGAAGCTGTCTTTGATACTGCTGCTAATGCCATGATTTTGACTGTCTTCTGAGTGCGTGTTGTTAAGACCTGAGTTACGCTAAGGCTCAAAATGAAACAGCTTGTCATCGATAGTCGTGCTTAAGGCCGAGGAAACACAGTTCAAAACGGATGGTAAGGGCCCCTACGTTCAAGAGATTCTGAACTCGTCTCTACATGCGATAGGCAGCAGCGTATCATACCTAGAGTAGGTCGAGACAGAGAGCCGCAATTGAGGCGACAAAGATTCCGCGCCGTACAGCAAACTGGATTGGCATGTCTGCAGTTGGCGTTGACACTGTCTACCGTAGATTACCACCGATTGAATTGGCGGTCAAAATTGATGTGCATGTTGAAGCGAACGCGAGCGCGAGTCAATTGTAGGCTGGAATTTCCCCGCATGCTCGATTGCGACCTCCCGCCGGCGACCAACGTAAGCGCTCGCCGGCTTGCGCCAGTAATTATTGCCGACCGGACTTCTTGGATAGCTCGCATCGGCTACAGTGACTTCCGAGCTCAGAGTCGCATCAATTCAACGGCAATATGTGCATGCTGAGAGTTGGACTCAAGTTTTGAAAACGAGATGGCGAAGCTAAGGAGTCAGCGAACTCTTGGCTTTCTATTGCGATGCAGTAGTAGGTGTGATCAGCGGGTGAGGGGCTTTCGGCTCGACATGACCGGTCTCGTACTCCGTGGAGATCAGATTTCCGTGCCAACCTCAGACTCTGTGAGGCTCTTCGAGACTCTTGGCCGGGCTGTGCATGTTAGAGAACGTCCTTCAATGCGATGACTCTGTCTTGACAATGGTCATAACATGGCGCCATGAAATATTGACAAAAGGAAAATTCCCCAGCGGAAACGACAGCTCTTTTAGCCAAGAAACAAAGTGCCACACGATTCAACAGCTTTGCAACATGATCCCGCCCCTGAGTCAAAGCGCGCGCGGGAAACAGTACGGATGATGAACTGGAGCTTACTCCGCCCGAACACCGATGAGCAACCTACAGGAAGCTGGAAACACTTGTTGATCGGGTGGGGTTGCCCCCGCCCCAAGTGATTGCCAACAGGATGTCGCTAGAGGCGACGAGAGATGTTGACAGGGAAAGATTTGCCGAGGTCGTATCGACCGCACACGTGCTCCGCCTGACCTTCCATTGAAGCTCTTGACATGCCACCGACGACATATTGGAGAACTTTTTGTTTTTCCGTTGCCAAATAGGATTTGAAACCCCTCTTTTTGCCTGACTCTTGGCCTGTCTCCAGTGCGAGGAACAGAAGCAAAATCCGTGCCATCTAGACTCTTGTCTGTCATGTACGGCTAAACCTTCCCCTCTCCTCGCAAACTCGTCTGATCCTACCATCATCTCGCTTATTCTTTGCTCGAAAATCCCTCGTTCACCCCTGTCTCTGCTAAGATTTCTGTCAATCCCCAAGCTAGTCTTCGCCTTTCTCGCCTCCTCCTTCCCGTTCTCTTCAAGCTTCACACCTCTAGCTACTTTTGATCATCAACCAGAGCTCCTGTGAATGCTCTCTTAAACTGCCAAGCCTGCATCATGTGCTGTTCGTTGGTTTCTGAGGCTGACCTGGGCCGCATTCCGGCGGGTCATCTCTCCACACACACGGTGCTATGCCTACTTCTTTAAGCTTGTCAGAACGATTTCCCGGCCCCAATCTACCTAATTCGGGCTTATCAGATGGGATCAGGAATATTGGTTCCTCAGTAATAAGTCTCTTGAAGTGTGGCAGTGCTGATTCGGCCGGGGTTTGAGTTCTTTTGCTTTTGCCGTTCTGTCGGAAAGTGGAGAGCTATGATGAAGGTGAGGTTGGATGGCTAAGCTTGAAAGAGGTAGCCCGGCGAAAGCTGCCCTTGGAAGAGTATTCATATTCTCTGGGCGCCGCTTGTTCGGCACGTCTTGCTTTCGAGCTCGACAGCACTTTCTCTTTTTCTACCGGGCTATACATGACATCCCCTTCATGATGGCTGATAAGTTTCTCAGCCCCAACCCCCCACATGCGGACTCCCGTTCGCGGGCCACGAGTGATGCCGACACTATTGCCCCGGACGGGTCCAATCCGTTTCTCACGCCGTCCGGGACCACCGCTGCCCCCAGTACCGCCGGTGCGAGCCTCGATCTTGAAGATATTGAATCGTCTTTGAGGCCTGACCCAGGCACGGAGCGCGACTTTCACGTGGAGAACAACCCATTCGCGTTTTCCCCTGGCCAACTCAACAAATTGCTGAACCCCAAGTCCCTCTCAGCATTCAGGGCGCTCGGCGGGCTCCGAGGTATTGCTCGTGGCGTTCAGACCGATGTACGCAGTGGTCTCAGTGTCGACGAAGCAGGCGTCAGATCAAGAATCAGTTTTAATGAAGCAGTCGACAACCACAACGATAGCAAACCGGTTTCCCCAACCACAGAGAAGCATGTGCCGTCTTCCGGGGCACCGTTCGTGGACCGTACCCGTGTTTACGGTCGCAACGTACTGCCGCCAAAAAAGCCCAAGTCGATCTGGAAACTGATGTGGATCGCGTTCAATGAAACGGTACTTATTCTCTTGACGGTTGCCGGAGTCATCTCTTTGGCCCTCGGACTATACGAGACACTCGGCGTTGAAAGGCCTGCAGGCGCACCGGCTTCTGTCGACTGGGTCGAAGGCGTCGCCATCTGCGCTGCGGTCATCATTGTCGTCCTCGTCGGATCCCACAACGATTGGCAGAAGGAGAAGGCATTCGTCAGGCTGAACACAAAGAAGGATGACCGTCAAGTCAAGGTCATTCGTTCCGGGAAATCAGTCATGATCAATGTCAACGAGATCCTGGTAGGCGAAGTGCTCCATCTGGAGCCTGGCGATATGGTCCCTGCCGATGGAATCTTGATTGAAGGACACGAAGTCAAGTGCGACGAATCTTCGGCTACTGGTGAATCCGATGTTCTCAAGAAGACTGCTGGCGACCAAGTCATGAAGCTTCTGGACTCTAAACACAACAATCATGA